AGCGAGGGCCCCACTGGCCCGGTGCATCCTAGCATGTTGTTTCAGCAAGAGGAACCACAGACATGTCATGAGCGGAGCTGGCTGGAGCCGGGGGTCAGACTAGATGGCCCAGGAGATCCCTTCTGGCTAGCTCTGTTTCTGTGTTTCTAAGTCAACCACAATGCAGACCAATGCGAGAAGGAACAAAAGCCCTCAGTTTCTCAGTTCGTGAAGGACGGATGATCGAAAGTCCCATCAGCCCAGTCCTAGCCAGTGACCAATCACCTTTTTGCAGGTGAACTCTGCCGTTGTCTGTGCTCATCAAATATTGCAATTCCATGCACAGGTATATTGGAACCTGCACAACACGCCTTTTATTCTGAACTCTGAATGGAGGATAAATCACGGCTTAACTTAACAACAGCTTGCTAACCCACATTAACCAGGCTTTGTTCCAAAGAAAGACCATCAAAACAAGCAGAGAAGTGTGAAACTTGTCTTGCATTTTGAGGAAATGTTGGGGGAGCATCTCTTCTCAACCCTGAAGTAGAACACTGGCCAGCTGATTATTGATGACTCCTTGGAAATCGACCCCAGCCACAAGCTGTAACCCCAAACAGACTTGCTAGGGAGTAAACCCTAGTAAAACACGGTCAACACACATAAGAACGGCGTGTCGGCTCCCTAGCAGCTTCTTATTACTCAGATTTGATCTCCAATTTAAAGTGCTGCCTTAAAGGAGCAGGATTCTGTGCAACAGGCGGCAATGACCTTGTAGGCTTTGAGTGGTGGGAAGGAAAGCGAAGGAAACATTCACAGTGGGTTCGTCACCCAATCTTGCTTATCCTCTGCATTAAAGAAGCAATTAAACAGCTATGGGTGTTTTTGAAAGACAGCTCAAAATAAGCAACAAAATCAGTGCTTCCAAGAACTCACAGCATTTGCAGATGGCCCAGACAGTTCTAAAAAATGCCAGAAGAAAAACAGGAACATTCATTTCTGCACCGGGACTAGGTCGCCGAGGCTTCCTTTTGTGCACTCTGCTGACTTGCCCTCTTCTGGGGTTATTTTTAGAAGTGTGGCTGCCTCGTTGTGCATACAATCATGCCTGTGAGTGGATAGGTGCAATACAATTACCTCTTGCAATATGCAGTACCTCCCTGTGTGTGCACACAGAGAAAACACAAGACAAGAGCACACCTTTTGCTTAGTATTGCTACTACTAAGACCATGAGAAGAATAAGACGAAGGACAAGAAGAGAGGAGAACTTTAAAATAATCCTATGAAGGAAAAGGCACTGTTTTTAGATGATGCCATCTTTTCAGTCAACCGAAATGTTTCTCCTCCATTTGTCTGACTAATCTGGGGACCAAGTATTTCAGCCCCATCAGCAACAGCCTGCCTGGGGTGTAAACTGAGATCCATTTTTTGTTAAGCATCTTCTAACATACCAGTGCAGTGTGGTTTTTAAAAGCAATCCAACGGCCTCCTTTGTTGCAAAGCAATGTGTCTAAATCTCTTCAGGAAAAAAGAAAAGAAAAGAGAAGAAAAGCCAAACAAACTGGCAAAATTGCATGACTGCAAGACAGCTATTTCTATCCCAAAGCCTGTGGGAAAAATAAGCACCAATATTAGCGTGATCTCTTTGCCTCTACAGTGAATTGGCTCTGGATTTAGGCTGCAATCCAATGTACGCTTTTATAGCAGTAAGCCCACTAAACACAATGGGACTTACCTACGAGCAGAAATACATCAAATTGGATAATTAAACGGTTAAAGGTGCAATTCTATGCATGTTTAGTGGACATGCTGGCTAGGGCATGCTGGGAAGTGAAGGCCTTTTTCAGTCTAAAAATGCATAGACTCACGTCCGAACTCTTCTTCGTTTGCATCTGTGATCAAATGAAGCAGATTTTTTCCGTCCCCTTTCCATCGATGAGCTCCAGGGACTTTATGGCGCTCTGCTCCAGGACAAGCACTGACCTCGCTCAGGAGTGTCAGTGGAAATGGAAGCCCGAAGGGCTGGGGAAAGCGCCCAGTCGCCAAAGAGGCTCTGCAGTGCTCTCTGGATGCTCCTGGCAGGGGTCCCTTCAAACCCAAACGGGTGCCGCCACGACCTTGAACACAGAAGTTCTTCAGCACGTCAGAAAGCAGGGGATCTTGTCCCAACAGCACCAAGCAGGATTTCACCCTCAGGGCATGCAAGAGGCTGCGGAAAGCCTGTTTCCGAGCGGCACGTCGCAGCCCGACTGGACGCTGCTGGCCGCCACCCCACACTGACGCCGGCAAACGGGCCCGTCTGAGGCTCACGGGGAAGCAGGTCACTGTCCTCAGACGGGAACTGGCTGCAGATTCAGCGGAGGCCCGCCAGGCAGCTGCAGAGTCCTACTGGCTGAGCCGCTGCACAAGCACTCCAGGCGGTCGCGTGGAACCAGCGAGGTGAACCCAGGAGACTTTGGATCCTTTTTTGCTGTGAGCCCGCTGCTGAAGCAAGCGCGTCGGGGCGATCCTGTACTCTGTGCGTCCAGGCAGGTCCCCCACCCTAAGAAGGTGTGGCCAGGCCCACTCCCAGCAAGCTGCTTGCTTCCCGGCCCCAGGCCTCTTCTCACAGATCCTCTGTGACACGTGGCTACTGAGCGCATTTGCCGTGAATGCTAAGATTTTCTCCTTCAAAATCAGATGCATTTTTGTGCCGGCTTGCGCCAAGATCCATCCTTCTTAATGCATATGCACAGTTGCAAGCAGTTTCCCCAATCGCATGCATTTTAATGCTGTTTTCATAAAAAATGTGTGTTTTTGCGTGCACTTTCCTTTAATATGAATGCTTCCATGGGCAATTTGATTGGAGAACTCCACTGTGAAGTTTGGAGGGTGCCCATCGCAAAGGGAACTGAGATCATCTATTGATTCACAAAAGCAAAGATTAGGGGAGAATTCGTCAACAGGCAAAACTGAATGAATTTTTCCTCCATCCAGTGAACACCTCAAAAGGATTGGAGCAGAGTCTAGCAGGGCATTTAATACAGGTAATTCTGAAATTACTTCATTTCATAAAACCCTACGGTTTGATCTCAGGCTGGGGTGTGCTGAAGTGGTGGGAAAGAGACACAGAAAAATGGTCTTGATTTTTAAAAATGTCACAATCTCTTCTCTTCAAGAAAACAGGTATTTGTGTTGCAGCTGAAGCTTGCTGCTACCAGTGGCCTTTTCCTCGTGGGGTGTTTGAAGGTGGATCTGGGATCGTCACCCATCACTGGATCCCAAAGCTTGCTGTGCTATAATTTAGCAACCTCCAAGCCCTCAATGCATTCTAATTTGTCTTTGTATTCTAGCTCCTTTTCTTTGAATACGAGTTTAAAATTGCCCTTAAACCTGCATGCTTCAGAAGCAATCTAACTTTTCTTGTGCGCTGAATGGCTTTGATCAATAACCAAGAACTAGAAAACACACACACACACACACACACACACGCACGCGCCCCACTGCCCCTGGTGAAATGGCCTTTTTTGTGAGGTGAAGGACCATCACAAGGCAACAGAACTCAGGCTCTGGAAGAAGAGGCCGCGACCTTCAGTCCTTAGAATTTTCTCTTTAAAAGGACCAGGAGCGGGAAGCTGTGGGGACCTTTCCCTGGCCAAGACCCTGGAGGGCTACAGCAAGTCGGAGCGAGTGCCCTTCCTGAGCCAGTGTCCAAATTACCTGCCCTGGGATGAGACGACATTGTACCAAAGGGGCTTAAACAAAACATGTGCCTTAAATAAATAAACAGGGCACAATAAAACATAATTCCATGCCCTCTCCCACTCCAAAGTGCTTTTCTCAACCGAAGGCCTTCCACCGTTGGCTGGCACTGGAATTCAACGCATCAAAAGGATGCCAAGTTAGGGAAGGAAGCCCCAGACAGACATCCAGGGCCCCTCAGATGACGTCCCGGGTTAGCAGGACTGGGGGCAGCCAGGGGCTACGGGTTTCCATCAGACTTCCGCATGCTACTTCCATCAGCCGCATTAGCCATTGATTTTCTTCGAGGGCATGTGCTACTCACAGAGCCCGTTCTCTGCCTCTTGACTGGCCTGCTAGCAGGAGTGCCAAGCCACGGGAAGCGCCATCCGAAAGAGAAAGGCCGAGAAAGAAAGTTGGCGTTTATCTCCCCGCCGCTGCCTGTTTTGCTCCGGGTGCTTTACTCTGAAATCCCACACACTCCGTGCCATTACCACAACCAGTGGCGAAATAAAGACCTTTTCCATTTTTACAGAGCTTTCCCCCAGGGCTGGAGTTAGGCATGGCCTTCTTGGGGTAGTATTAGAGGCACGTAACACGGGCACGTGTGGGGATTCCTGCCCCCATGGTGAGCGGACTTGCCCTTCGTGGCCGCTGAGAAACACTGAAGCAGCTTCCCAGAACAGCCACAACGATCTCTTCCTCTGTCCTACAGTGGCGAGCAAGAGCACCTGGTCTTGAAGGCCACAAAGTGACGATGGGGCAAGAACGGACTCTCAACCTAGCCTACCTTACAGGGTTGTTGTGAGGAAAACAGGGAGAAGACGAGGGCCACCTAAACCGCCTTGAATTCCTTGTACGCAACAACAATTTAGACCACTCTTCAAATACAACCCGGTACTTTTCAAGTGTCAAGATGGGATTAAACATTATGCGAAGTTGCCTATAGGGCGGAGGCTATGTTGGCTCATCAGCTGCTTCAGCCCTACAGATAGATCATCACGCTATGGAACCCACAGGGTACGATCCCCAGTGGAAAGTGGGGCTCCACGCATGGGGTCAACTTGCATCCCATGCTGGCCGTCTAGGAAGCACCTTGCCAATCCAAAGCGAGCAGCCCCTTTCTTGATAAAACGGCGACGCGTTTTCCAGGTGGAAGGACACTAAAAATATGCACAGACGGGCCAGCGTCACGCGCAGAGCACAATCTGTGCTGCAGGAAATTTCCGAGGCAGAACAAGCGCTGTGGGCGCAGGCCCTCCACTCATGTCTTTTGTCTTTTAAATAATCATTACAGATAAAAATGTAGGCACTCCTTTTATTCTGAACGGGTGCACCCTGGTGACTTGGAGTTTCCAGCAAGAAGCAGCATGTTCTTTGGCCTGCAATAAAGACGAGTAAGAGCAAGATTTACACCCTCAAGAGGGGGCAGTGGGCAGAAGCGGCAATGGTTAGATCCTGCTGGCATCCCTCTGGGAAAACTGAAGACTTTAATGTGGTGGGGGGGGGGGGATGAGGATTTGCACCAATACATAGAAACATAGAAACAGAGCGAGTCAGAAGGGGTCTCCCGGGCCATCTAGTCTGACCCCCGGCTCCCGAGTCGCTGCTTCCTAGCAGCTGGACACCAGCCAGCCCGGGTCTTTCTTGCGGGCCGGCTGCATCAGGCGGGGGCTGCGAGGTCCCCTTGCACCCCCCCCCCCGCAGTCAGGGCACTGTTTTCAGCCTTAGAGAGGGAACTCCGGGCAAGCCTACGACTCCTCGGGGCCATCACGTCGCTCCCTCCAAATAGAATGAAAGGAGAAGCAAGCAAATAGCACAGGTCTGCTCAGACCTGGATGAGAAGAAACATGCAAGCTGCACCCGAACAGTGTGATAGCAGAAGGGGGAATCCGGGGTGCTCATCCTGCCACATGGCAAGCACCTTATTGCTGAGGTTTGCCCACTTCCAGCCTGCTGCCTCCTTATGAGACCCATCACCCCCAGCTGACTGTCCCTGTGTATTTATTTCTTGTATTTATATGCTGCCCCATAGCCCAAGGGGCTCTCCGGGTGGCTTACCAAAAGACAGAGCTGGAAGGAGCTGCTGGGCTGCAGGGAAAGGGGAAGAAAGCAGCCGAACTGATGCATGTCTTGGAACGACTCCACAGGCAGAGAGGCTAAGCGCATCTGGCCTGGGCAGATTAGAAGGCAGCTGTAAGGGGAGATATGGTGGCTAATACCACCAGCAGCAGCAGCAGCGGTATGGCACCAGTTGCTGGGGAAAATGGGCAGAGAGGCGTGTGTGCACTTGTCCTGCAGGCAGTTGCTTGGTTGGAAAGGACACGCCTTGCCTTCATCCAGCCCGCCTCATCTTAGATGCCATTCTTTGGACAAAGGGAAATAATTTTTAAAATTGCTCAGAAGTTCTTCCTTGTTCTTGTTTGCTTTTATTATCTGTTTTTAGCTGCTTTAAACTTTTAAAATGTATTTTTTTCTGATTTTATAATATTTTCATATCACTTTTGTCATCTGTTTTTTATGGGCTGCGTAAACCACCCAGTGGCCTTTGGCCGTGGGGCAGTATAGAAACGTATTATGTGATGCCATGCGATGCTACTGCCATTTGTAGCTAAACGTGTCAGGTGCTCTGGAACAGAAGACCGGATGGCTGAGGATTTCCAAGAGCCTGTAGGGACCTAATTCCATGCAGTTCTTGGCTTAATTTCAACAGCCTCCAGAAACTCAGGGCACTTCAGAAACCTTTCCCCGGGAGATGCTGGGCAAGAAACCCTAACCTTAACTTGTCCTCTCCAACAGATTTCCCCCCAAAGAACAAAGGATGCCATGCCAGGTTTATACACATCGGATTTCAATGAATTCCACCTGTGCACTCCGGCCTTTTGAAGCTGTGCAGATTCTGCGGACTTGTGGACTCGTTTTGTGCTTTGGGGCCCTATGCTTTGTGCTCGTGTGAATTTGCACACGCTGAATTCCATTCTGGTCAGGGCGCAGACAAAGGAAAAAAGAAACTCCACCATCCACAAGGCAGAGATTGAACAGACTGAAGAAAATCCCGACATGTCTAAATCAATAGCCTTACCCACAATTTCGGGGACACCTACTGATGTGTGTTTTCTTAGCCAACCGTCGCATCAGCACGAAGTCACATCAGCTAACTCGCATTAGCACTTCTGCGCAAGCCTTCTGGCGAAGGTGGACTGGCACTCACGGGGCACTGCTCCAGCTAAAGACAGGCATCGCCTCTGCCGATGAGCAAGAGTGAAAAAGGCCAGATGCCGGCACAGCGCAGGTGGAACGGATTTGGCAGACATACATGCCGGCCTCTTTCCCCTCCCCGCCACCATGCAAAATGCGTGGAATGCATAGGTGCGCATTTACTGTATGGCCAGCTGGATCCCGGGATGCTCCGGCCCGCAATGCTCAGCAGCTCCTGCGAGCGGAGCTGGGTGAGTGGCAAGCGGCTGGCCAAGGTGAACGGAGCGCCACACGCTGCCCAGCCTTCTCTCCGGTGTCCCAGCAGGGCATCCTCACACACCCTTGCCTAATGGGGCACCAGACAGAGGGTCCATCGATCTACCTGTTCCCCAAGCTGGTGCTATTCAGATGTGCTGGCTGGGACTTGTGAGAGTTGAAGTCCCATACATCTGCAGGGCACCAGGTTGGGGAAAGGGACCAGTTCAGGGGTGGGGGCTCAGCTCTGCAAAAGAGGGGCTTTAACTGGAGAAAGAAACCTTCTGCATGGAAAGCATGCACGCCTGAATTAAGGGCTCTCTTCATATTGCAAAGCTCCCACACAGAGATCGCATGTGCTATGAAATGCCCGAGCCAGCAGGGGGACGTAGCAACGAACAGGACCTCTGTTGAGCGGGGTTCCAATCTGGCTACACCAACAGATGTTCACGAGAACGGGAGTTCGGCTTGGCACCTCGCTCGTCATTTCACCCCGAGGACCCCCAGACAGGCCAGTCGGTTTCAGTGTTTGGAAAGGGCGAAATAGCCCAGGAAATGCATCTTGGACAGAAGTGCAAGCTGAAGAGCCGCTTCGCGCCCGCGAGCTGACACTGCCAAGCCAGCTCACACCGCGGCACCTTGGGGACAGAGCCAGGGAGGGACCAGCTGCCGCAAGCAACCGCCTCGGGGCAAAGGTCCCCTGTGCGCAAGCATCTTGTTTCTGTGCCGCCAGTCACGGGGGGCGGCTCTCCGGCACACGGCGGGTGCACGGCCAGCATGACGCTCTCCACACTCACCGGGGGTCGCCTGAGGTTGCACAGTCATGACCCTTCCGCCCCTGGCTTGAAAGCAGAGCCTCAGCTGGGCTTGCAGCTGGCTCAGACGGGAACCCCGCTACTGAGGGCCAGCCTCGGAATTACGCCTAACCACCAGTGGGGCTCCCTTCTCCACAGCAGCCCCCTCGCCTGGCGGGATGGTCTGCCCTGTGGAGAGGAGGTGGGGGCTTTCTCCTGGCCGCTGCTTGTCGCTCCCTTCCATCTTCCATCTGCCTACCTGGTTCTGCTTCCACACATTACATGGGATCCCCTTCCCTTATTCTCATTCTCTCTCTCTCTCTCTCTCTCTCTCAGATTCCAGTCATTAGCTAAGAGTGCTGCTGCCAGGCAAGATTGTGCTTCCACTCCCAGAAACCTTCTGGCACTTCCATTAGGGGTAACCTAATGCCCAGCGGGCTTGGTAGAAGAGCCAGCGCCTGTGTCCAGGTTGGAACCAGGAGCCTCCTGCTTTCAGCCTGGGGCTGGTGCATTCAGCACACAAATCCCCTGCAGGCACAGGGAGAAAGGAGCTGTGCATGTAAACTCTGGCGCAGGCAACTGTCCGGCGGTTCAGAGCTCAAGGACTTGGGCCAGGTTTTAGCGGAAATCTTAGAATTCTCCCCCACTGTGACCCTGATCGCCGGCCTTCCAGCAGCACAGCCTTCCATCTGTGCCCCTTCGGGTGCAGCCCTTGGCAGGTTTTCGCAGAAAAGTCCTTTTTCTGGTTGGGGGGTGCCAGGGATTGTGGAATTTGGGCAACTGCCCCTGCACAGGACCTTTTCCACTTCTGTGAATGTTTAGAAGGAAAACTGTGAGCTGGCTGGGTGGTGAGGAACTTTTTTCTGTCTAAACATGCACAGGATTGTGCCCAACCCAAACCCGAGAGCGAGCGCCAAGTAAAGAAGGCAGGGCGCTCTCCACACTTGGTCGCTTGGAGGCTCACTTGCCTGCTCTGCACGAAATGCCCCCAGAGGCCCAGGCCAACTTGGAGGCAGGCTTGTCTCGAGTCCCAGTCCCACAGTCCCATTCCCTGACCTGGCCCGCCCAAAAGTGAGAAGGGAAACACAGCGCGAGATGCAGCATGATCTCCTCGCCATCTGGGGGTCGGCACGGCCCCGTTTTTTAAGAAGGCAAGATCCTCTTTGCTTTCCACAGGTGATTCCCCAGCCCATGTGACTGTTCCTTTCCCACTCAGTAATATTTTCTTACTAGAATAAAACTAAAATCAACATTCTCCAGCCTAGTATTTAATTTTAGCAGCACAAGCTGTTCTTTTTCTCACTGTAAATGTCTTTATTATTGCAAAGAATGTAACACCGCCAGCACCGTGCCAATTCTCAATAGTTAAGAAGGCAACATTGGCATGCTGTCTGGAAGTTTTGCGTAAAAATCTGTAGTTATTTGCAGCTGCGGGTGCCAAAGGATTTGTGGTTATTCACTGGACGCAAAAGAGGATCCCCGCTGTTCAGTCCCTGCACCAGAATCACCCCATTCCCTGCTCTCCACTTTAAATAAATAAAATATCCAGTAGCAAAATGCCTTTTTCAATAAAGTGTTCCTCAAAGTGAAGCAACTTCTGGCTCTTCAGCTACATTATATGAGTGTTGATCAGGGCTTAATTATAAAGTGGTGTTAATATTTTTTTAAGTCAAAGCTTTACTAGGTACATTTTTAAAGCTCTCCAAAATTATGCTTTAAAAGGCTGTCTCAGAAAAGCTGTTAATTGCATGATGAAATATGAATAGCGGCTGTTGTTGCATTTTGCAAAATAAGATTTAAGGGAAATCTCACTGTAAAATAAGAAAATCCTGCAAACCTCTCATATTATTTTTTCTTATAAATAATTCTCTCTCCACATGGTAGGAGAGAGTTGTGAGCAGGTAAGCAAAGTGGATTTTCTCTCTCTTAGAATTAACAGTTATTGTTAATTGCTGAACTTACACCAAAGATACTGAAAGGTTTGTCGTAGCACATGCCACAAGAAACACTCCATGAGCCATGAAACTTCTTGTCACAGATCAGCCTTACTCAACCTGATGCCCTCCAAGTGTCTCAGGTGACAACTCCCACCATCCCGAGCAGTGTACCTGTACTGGTGAGGGATGATGGAAACAGTAGTCCAAAACCAGACTGGGAATAGACTAAATAGCCCGCTGACTAAGTAGCCCAGTGCAAGGCCCACTGGTCGGAATGCATGATTGCTGCTCCAGGGGGCACTTAACACTCGCTTACAGCACAGCGGTCTGGCAGCAGAACTCCTTAAACCAGCCTTCTGAAGGAAGTCCCCCTGGGGGTCAGACTCGATGGCCCAGGGGACCTCTTCTGACTTGCTCTGTTTCTAGGAGTTTCATACAGCTTACTCTCGGGGTCGTTCAGTTGCAAAGTCACGTCCGACCCATCGCGAGCGCAAGGGGTACATTCCTCCAGGCTCTTCTGTCCTCCACCATCCCCCAGAGTCCACCCAAGCTCACACCCACCGCCCCAGTGACTCCCTCCAGCCACCTCATCCTCGGCCGTCCCCTTCTTCCTTTGCCCTCAGTCGTTCCCAGCATCAGGCTCTTCTCCAGGGAGTCCTTCCTTCTCAGTAGGTGGCCAAAGCATTTGGGCTTCAGCCCCAGGATCTGTCCTTCTAGAGAACAGTCAGGCCTGGTTTCCCTGAGGATTGAGACTCTCGTGGAAGTAGCATACAATCACAGCCTGATCACTGCTGCTTGTGTTTTGCTCCCCGGTTGTCTCCCTTTCCTGATGATGTGCCGCAGCGTGCAGAAAGAACAAGCCCCCGTGGAAGGGGGGCAGCGAAGCGCTTCCATCAAATACCTCCTT